ATGACTTAGAGGTTCTACTGATTGTGGAAACTCCTTTTCAAGGCCATGTTCACATGTCCAGATCCCAGGTCCTCATGTGTCTCCCCTAGATGTGTAAAACAACTATGACCTGCTTTTAGCTTTATTTCAGAGTTTTGAATTTAGCACTTTACATTTAAGTGCCCATGGATATGAACAGTATATAACTTGGGGGTGATTTTGAGGGAATTGAATAGCCAAGATTCATTCTTGCTTGCTTGCTTGCTTTCTTTCTTTCTTTCTTTCTTTCTTACTCACAGAAGCTTTGTAAAGATTAGGTCAATGTCAAATTAAAAATAGGACTAGCTACTGAAAAAAAAGTGCCACTTGGAGCTCTGGAACATGTAGTGAGTATAAATACAAATCTCATAGAAGGCAGAGATTCATTCAGGAGACCCATAAGGAGTGAGTTATAGCTTACGTTTGTCTCTTGGGTGAATTAAATATGTATTTTTTTATGCCTTTACAAAGATATTAGCCAAAAAAAAGGTATTTTAGTGCCAGTTGAATTAGAAAATGAGTAAATCCTGTATTAGTTAGCAGTGTTTTTAAACAAGCTGGTCATTTAAAGATATCAGTGTTTTTTATTAATGTGTCCCCAACTAGCTTTGTAAAATAACTGAATTAGGCAAAGGATGATTTTTGAACTTCATGGAATCCACAAAGCAAATGGACTTCAACTGGGTTTTACTCTCCCTCGCTCAGCTTCTCTCCACAGATGTAGTTCATTTTTACAATCCCTTTAGGGTCTGTACGTTTGGTATAAGGAAACGAATGGTTTTTCTATACTCGAATCCAAATTAAATTCCTAAAGTTTTTTTCCTACTGGCAATTTCTAATCAAAGACAATCCTGAGGGAAATTGACCCACAGAGTGCAGATGGGACTGATACTTCTTCTCGATGGAAGCCCGGGCAGCAGAAGAGACAGAGCGTGGGGTATTTGGAAGAGACTCGTTTGGGCGCTGGAAAACCTGGTTCTTGCCTCCCGGTGCCGCCACAGACCTGCTGCGAGGCCCATTACCTTTCTGAGCTCAATTTCCTCATCTGTAAAATGAAGAGACCGGGACTGCATGATTGCTACGGTCTCTTCCTGTTCTGACAGCCTTTGTTCTAAAAGACTAGCCTGTGCCGTCAGCCCGACTGCGCTACCACCGTGAGCTAATGAAGACAGCACGATGGAACTTTCTCGATCTCAGCGAATCTGCATGTGCTCTGGGTTTTCTCGTCCTCGGAGTGCACCTGTGGCTTCTGGTGATGAAAGTGGGAGTTGCCTGTGTACGTGATCGGGTTTAAGTGCCAGGATGGGAGAGTATCTGAGTGAGAAGGAGAAGTCACCTTTGCGTTTACCTGCGTGAGGCCTTGGCAGGAACCCCCCCGCCCTTCTCAGGAGGGTCTTAGCTTCCTCCCGTGTTAAGGAGGGCAGTCTCTCTGTCATTGAGGCCAGGGCAACAGACGGGTGGGCAAAATCGGAGCTAACAGAAAAGCCCCATTCTAGAGAGAAGCTTCTCACCCTCACGCCCTGCACGGATTCCAAAAGGGAGAGGGGCTCTGGAGAGATCTCTCTCTCTCTCTCTCTCTCTCTCTCTCAACCTTCGGATAATTAAGACTCAATTGAGTTGTGGGTGTTGGGTGGTTTTCATACCACTGTAATGTGACCAATTTCATCATTTCCTGGAGTAAAAAGTTGGAAGAACATTGTATAACTTGCTATCAGGGAGAGGCCTCGAGTTGAGTTTTGGCTCAACCCTCCCCGTCCTCATCAGGGTGAGTAAATTCGGATTGTTCGGACCAATAATATGGCGATTAATCCTGATTTCTGGCTTGAGCGTTTCTTCATGGGCTGTGGAGCCCTTCTTTCCTCTGGGAAGCGAGCCTGGGCAGGTGAAGGTACATCCGGTCATCAGGGGACGGTCACAGAGTTTCCTGGGGCCTCTGCGGGGCTCACACGTTCCGACACGACCTGCGTGAATCAGAAGCACTTTAATTGAGTAGATAAAGAGGGCCTCATAATTATAAACTGCAGTAGGTATAACAAGAGGCTAAATACACGGCTGTGGTCTTAATTAGCCGGTGCTTCGAGTTACTAATTCTGGTTTCAGTCAGAAATCGGTGACGTTCCCCGCCGCGAAAGCCTCGTCACCGCGTAGTTCGTTCCTCATCAGACCTCGCCGGGTGAAGCTTTCAGCACAAGGCCGTGCCCAGCGAAAGGGGAATGCGTTGCAGAGACTCGGTTGCCTTCCAAGGGCAGGGGAGCTCTGTGGAGATGACATTCATTCTCGCCAGAGATGCGAGGCTTTAACCGTCCTCCGTGACGCGGGTTACAAAGTGCAGCAGGCAGTTTCCCGGCACCAGATAACACCCCTGTGCGCCCTCAGTCTGCTCTTCCCGTTTCCATCTGGAATTTGGTGGCTAATGCGCTGCTGCAGAACGGAGCCAAGAGCCTCCCAAGAAATCGGAGCCGGGTCGAAAGCGTCCAGAGGTGCCCCGGCTGCCGGCCGCTTGGACGGCTGTCGCGCGAGTCCAAGCGCCGTCCCCTTTGCTTCTCCTTCCCCTTCTGTTCCTTCGGGGGTTGAATTCTGCCTTTTCCCTCAGAGGAGAAGGAAGGTGGTTCGCCAAGCCGGGGCACCGGAGGGCTTCGGTTCCCTTCAAGGGAGGATTAAACGTGACCCGTGGGCCTGTCATTCTGGGCTGTCGGGTGCGCAGAATGAACGGAGGGCTAGAAAACGGGCGTCTTGCTCGCGTTCCTTGGACGCCTGAGGTGCGGGCTCTTGTTTCTGCATGTAGAGTCGCGTGCTGGGGAAGGGCAAGGAAATGAGGTGTCTTCCTTTGTGACAGGCCTTCCTCCCCCCCCCCCCCCCAGTACTGCTTTAACTCCTTCGTCCCCCTCCATGCCTGACGCCCTCTCTTTCTTACATTTTGACACACGGATGACAGGCTGGGGTTACGAGCGGCCCGCGGATGGTGCTGAGGTCGAACTCGGGCTCCGTGTGCACGGTCTGAAGACGTCGCCAGGTCTGGCGGATTCCCACAGCGGCCCTCCAACACGGTGGCAACCGGTTGGGGTTCTGATCTCAACTCGTGGGTGGAAATGAGAGCTGATGCCAGCGACCGTAATACCTGCGGATGGTGTCTGAGACTACGAGACGTAGGCTGCCTTCCTTCCGGTATCTGGACTTGGCCTCGTTCTTGACCGGACGGGGCCCAGATGTGGGGTCTGGGCTTTGTGTGGCGCTCCGGAGGGTCTTTGTGTTTTCCCGGGCAGCGTACGATACCATTTGCCGAGCGCTCTTGCGACCGGCCCGGCGAGCTCCTCTGTGTCTGGCATTGTTTGTATTGTGAAAGCATAATGTACGTTGGAACATCCTTTAAACGTTGCCACTTTTTAGATCGGAGAAATGAAGTGTTGTTGATTCGGAAGAGAAGGCTATCAGAGTCACTTTGAATGTGTCAGTTCAAGGATTCCCGTGGAGAAAGGTGGATGATTAAGTGTAGTGGCATCTCACACTCCACGTATATCAATATCTAGTTAAGCTGCCGTGGATATTTCATGCTCTGTGCCCTTATTTTGTAAATTAAAAGTTCTGATACTCATGAGCAGACTCGGCTCCCAAGGATAGGCATTAAGGTTTGGGATGTATTCAAAACCTGTCGACTGTACTCGTAGATCAGCGTATCTCTTGTAATTCCTTTAGCTATTACGTTCATTTGCATGCCAATTATCTAATTAAGTCTTAACATGGCGGTATTAACATGGGGAAGGAAAGCAACATTTGTACAGCACCTGTTAGGCATTTTACGTACGTTCATATAATTTAAATTTGCCCAGCATATATGTACTCGCTTTGAGTAAGATTTCAGTCAAAATTAGGGGATGGGGAAACCCAATGGACAAAAAGAATTCACCACTTTTGAGACTTCCGGATTATCGTTTGTTTGTTTATTTTGAGAGAGAGAGTGCACAAGTGTGGTGGAGGAAGGGCCGAGGGGGAGAGAGAATCTTAAGCAGGCTCCATGCCCGGTGCAGAGCCTGGCACAGGGCTTGATCTCACGACCACGAGATCATGACCTGAGCTGAAACCGAGAGTCGGACGCTTAACCGACTGAGCCACCCAGGTGCCCCCACGTTGTAGTTTAACATGTACGTTCTTGCCTGATGAAGAAGACAACTGTTTGCTTCATCAGAAAGCATTTCCTTCTATAAAATTCAAGGTCCTGGAGTACATCTTAGGTATTGTCTGGAAGCTTTTGTACTGAACCTCCCATGGGAAAGCCTGAAATGCAATGAGTCACAGAGCTATACAGTGTTTCTAGAACGTGTGCCTTAACGTCGTTCAAGGCTCTTAATCACCTTCTTTAATTGTTAGTGGTTTGGACTTCAAGCCAGACACCTTTCTTTTGAAGAGTTTCCTTAAAAGGTTGTCACCTGTGACACAAACTATGAGAAGGCCAAAACGACACGACCAGTGTGAGAAGGAGTGTGAGTGAATGAGTCCTTTGACTCTCCTGTGATCTCATTACAACGGCTTCACTCTAACAATCCGCGTTACGGTTTGTCTGTGACATATTGGTTAATCCCTTCCCCTTAGGACTTTGTAGTATCTGTGAATTCTGAGCCCTGAGCCATTGGCGACAGAGCAACCTGAATTCAGGACCTTTCTGTGCAGTGGACTGACTTTTGGGGAGTCTCCAATTGCCTGTAGCACTCAAGCAAGGACAAGGAAAGAGGATTCTGCAGTGCTTAAAGTGGGCATGAGTAGGATTTCTAATCAGCAAGTTTCCATTTTCTTCTGTATTCCAAAGAACTGGCTGGGATCTTAAACCCACTGGGGGTCAAGAAAAGGTTTCTCTGCTCTCTATATGGTATCCGTTTGGGGAGCGTTGCCTTGCGTTGTTTTTCTTCTTATTGATGACAAGGGAGTGCTGAATGACTTAAGTGACTAATTAATCTTTTTCTCCTTTTGTCTTTTTTTTTTCATATCAGTCACTATGAACAAGACCGTAGTGCCCTTAAAAAAAGGGAATGGGAGCGGAGGAATCAAGAAGTCCAGCAAGAAGACGATCTCTTTTCTTCAGGCTTTGATCTTTTTGGGGAGCCCTACAAGGTAGCTGAATATGTATGTAATTTATCTTTCTGGAAAATGCTTGCTTGTTACATTTTTGAACACACTAATCAACGTTTAATCTATTTTTAAAGCACCCAAATCATTTCCAGGAGAATATATTTCACAAATGAAATATGTACGTACACTGTATTGGGAGCAATCGCAGGTTTCTGAGGAAGCCTTCAGAGACAAATTCCGTCTTCTTTGGGGAGTACCGTCAGATTTGAAAGGAACTAGGGAGACTTCCCGTCTCCAAGGAGTTCTCTCCCGCCCAGCACTTCCTACAGCAAGCAGTGCCCCCTTGACGCTTATCCCCACTCTGGCTATCAGCAAGGCAGCCCCTGAAGACTTCATCAGAATGTCAACGGCTATGTCTCTTTCTCCTCCCGGTCAATGCCGTCCATTGCTAGCAAGGCGTTGAGTGGTTTGAGTGCTCTTTGAAAATCGTTGCTCTAGGAGAAAGGGAAAAGCCAATCGTTTTCTCCGGTGGTTACCAATCCTGGATTAAGAGATCGCCTCAGCCAGAGCGGCTGGGGTAGCTGGCTTGGCCTTCTGGTGGTATTCTAGCTAGTTTGTAACTCCAACAACACTCATGCTGCTGAACTTTCTATGTGTGGGGTTTGGGGGAAGAATCTTGTGGAATTGCTGGCAGCTGGTTGGTGTTTATTGCCATTTAGTCGCAGTGTAATTTTCTGTAATGAAACAAAACTGATGTAAGAGTTAAAACAACAATAGAGAAAATTTTTGAGAGTTGTGATTTTCGAAGGGCACCAATTAGAAGACAATGACTTCTGGAAAAGGAAAGGACAGCATAGGCACAAATACCACTTTGGGGTAGAGAGTAAGCTGTTTGGATCGGTGACCAGTGAGACCAGAGTCTTGCTGTCTTGTTTGTGATAAGTAGGCAGCTCATGACTAAGACTCAGGTGCTTCCAAGTTCGGTGAGTCTGGCCAAGAGAGTTAGGTCACCTAACCTACCGCTTTGCAATCTGTCAATAATAGTATTAATCCTTCAAAAAGCGTTTTTCCTATCTCCATTTATTTAATGTATACAGTGCCTTTGAATGCACGCATTTAGGGATATGATCGGTTTAGCAAACACTTATTGAAGGCCCACTATGTGCTAGTCACGTCTTAGACTAAGGTACAAAGAGGAACAAGACCTAGTCCCTGCCCTCAAGGACTTCCTTGCCCAGTGGTAGACATCATCATGGTGAGTGAAGGCGTGACTGCGTGGTAACTGCTACAGAGATGGGCTGGGGAGAGGTTCGTGGAGATTTGTACCTCGTGCCAAGGAGTTCGGACCCAGTTCCGCACATGAAGAGAAGTCACTGAGGGCTTTTAAGTAAGGGCACGTCCAGGACAGACAAAGAACTCTAAAGGTGATGTTGGAAGCGTGGAGAGTGGGTTGGAGGTAAGGAAACTAGAGGCAGATAAAGAGGCCCTTGTAGTCAGCTAAGGGGAGTTCGTGGAAGGCAAGATTTAAGGTAGAGCAAGTGGGTTGAAATGCTGAGACTGGCTGCCTGCGTGGATGTGGGAAGTGTGGGACAGGAATGAATGATGCCCGTAATTTTGACTTGAGAGTATGGCAGTCTCACTAACAGACTGTTGAGGAGGAAACAGGGTTGGTACTCGTGGAGAAAAAACACAATTCTGTTTTGACCATGCCAGTGGGATATGAAGGGAGAGATATCCAGTAGGCATTGGATGGAGGGATCTGGAGCTAATGAGAGTGGTCAAGAGAGAGAGTTTGGTGTTAGCAGGCAGGGGGGGTAGGAGCTATCAGATGACTGAGTAAGAGGGACAAAGTCAGAATCTTGGGGAATAGCAACATTGAAGCAGTAAGCAAGGTGGCAAAGTAGAAGCCAGGAAAGGAACCTAAAGAAGGAGTGAATGATCACAGAGGTAGGAAGAGAAGGAGAAGAGAATCATTTAATAGAAGTCAAGGGGATACAGGGTTTTATAGAGGAAGGATTTGTTAGTTATCTGTGTCTGAGTGGCCAGGAAAGGTCAGGACTGGAAAGTGGCTGTTGGTTTGGTAGTTAAGGGGGAGGGGGTCAGTGACCTTAGGGAGAGTCGTTTAATTGTTGATGGTGGTGCTCACTGCAGGTAAGCCAAACTGCCTGGGGTTGGGGAGTAAATGGGAGGTGGTAAAAGAAAGAAAGGCAGTGGGTTTTTGTATGGAGGGAGGAAGAAAGGAAGGTAAGTTAGAATGTAAGGGAAGAAATTATGTGGAATGCAAGAGGCTTTGTTTTTAATAATGAGAGAAATGTGAACACATTTAGAGATTGATGGGAAGGACCCGATGTCCGTCGAGAGGGAGAGGGTGAAGGTAGTGGAGGAAGAGGTGAGGAGTGGGGCAGGCTCCCAGAGGAGATGAGCAAACGCAAAATCAAGAGTGTGTGAAGGGTGACCAGCCATGGTGAGGAAGAGTGGGAAGGAAAATTAGGTTGAGAGCAAAGCAGGAGAGTAGAAGAAAGACTGGGGGAAGGGCAAGATGTTGTGGCCTCCATTTATTCCGGAAAATGGAGGAGAGTCCAAGGATGATAGATGCCTTGTCCCTTCTTAAGAGGAATAACCCAGATGAGTTTTATGTCTTATCTTTGGATGAGTTAGAAAAGTCAGCTTTCCTCAAGAGTCATGCTTAAAATTCAAAATCTACTTCATGCCCAACACTATTATGAGGCATGGGACCCTTGGCTTATCCTCCCCCCCTTTATAATTTAAGTCATGTTGAATTAATGGTCTTGTATCTTTAAGGTAAATGCCATCTCTTGTTAACAAGGCCTGTGATACGGATGCATGTTCACTTTTAGATGTAAGCGGTATATTTTTGAGTAGGCAGTTATTAAAAAACCTGTTATCAACATTGTCAGAAGTTTTCGAAAGTCATCTGTCTTGCTATGACAAGAGTATATCAGGTAGGGACACTAGATGGGAACATTAGTCTAGCCCAGAGCCAGGCCGTTGTGTGATTAGTAGCCTATTGCCTTTATGCTTCTTGATCAGGAAGAGCTTTTGTTCTTCTCAAGACTGTATAGGAAAGGAATTAAGCTATTGGTTGATGACCTAGGAATTTTTTCTTCCTCCATTGCTTTGATGATCAGCTGCCATCTTGTGCTGTGTCCATGTTCAGGGTTCCCTGGGAGATCACTGGGGAGTATACCTTTCCTTTCCTCTCATACTATGATACTGGAACTGGTGTGCATCTCCATAAACTCCCCGAGCCTGGACTAGTATGGACACCCTTGGAGTGTCTGGACATGCCAGTGGCAATGGGAGTTTTAGAGCTGGCCCACGGTCCACTGGTAGAGACAAGGACATACCATAACCCCTTCCTTAGGGTTGTGGTAGGAATGCTTATCAAATTAAAAATCAGAACTCCTGGCGGTGGATCGGGACTTTCAGGAAACTTCTTGCCATCTTGAAGCCTACAACGCGGCCTGATCAGTTGTCCAATGGTGTTGGTAGTTCATAAAGTAGCCAATGAGTATCGGTCCCTAAGACCCACTGCCCTTTCTTGGCAGTTAGAAGAAATGGTGATCTCTTATCAGCCTGGCTGGTTTCTTTCCGTTCTTTGCTTCACCCGTACCGTTCCCAGAATGGAAAGAATGTTGACCACCCCTAGATTTGGTTGGTGATGGCTGCGTTTTTCGCTTATAACTTTCAAATCTGACTTTGTGCTGCGGTGCTGAGAAGGATGTGTTCAAAAGCACTTGAAGACTGTGAAGCTCTTTGCCATGTCAGGTTAGTGTGGAAAGACTGGGCGGGACAAGGACCTGGCATGTATCAAGTGCCTACCGAACGCCAGGCACGTGCTAGGGCTTTATACATGTGTGTTTAGTCCTTATGGCAGCCGGAGTACTCATTTTCCTCATGTTGACCACAAGGAATTTGAGGCTCAGAGAGGCGAGGTGACTTCTCTGCTGCTTCATATCCATGTAAGTGATGAATCTAGACCCAGTTCTGTGTGGTTCAGTATCTGTCACAGGAAGCTGTTTATCCTCCCGTAGGAGGTCAGAAGACCTGGTAAGCTTACTTCCTGTGTGACTTGGGTGAAGAAACTTCGTTCCTCTGACCTATAGTTTCCTCCTCTGTGAACTGAATAAGAATACCTGATATCAAAGAATCCCTGATAATAATAATGATGAGAAAGCAACAACAACTAACAATTTCTAGCGCTTTGCAGCTCTGCAAGAATGAGGAAAGCAAGGCACAGAGAGATTAAGTGGCTTACCCAAGGTCATTTGGGTCGGGGAGGTAGAAGGCAGACTGAGATCAGAGCTGCTCTGTTGAGTCATGTGCGTGTTGTAAGGATCAAGTCAAACGAGCTGGGAGACCTTGCTTTGAAATCTGGCAAGTGCTGTACAAGTTCAAGAGACCATTGTTATTATAATTAAAGAAAGAAATAACAACTTACAGCTTAGAGAGATTAACTGTAAAACTATTACAATTAGAGAAAAAGGAATTACTAAATCACACGCATTAGCCACAATGAAATAAAAGGAAAAAATGAGCCCCCAAACTTAAATTATTTTGTGACTTTTATTAAAAAGAAATGCCATGGTACAAATAGCCTCCTAGGACATTAGTCTTGCAATGAACTTCTACTTACTGATTTGTAGATAGCATTAGAAGCAAACTGAGGCAACTTTGCATTTCCTAAAGTAATGAGAGGAAAAAGCTTAAATGGAGGAGTGCTGTTAGTCATGAGCCACAAACCAGACGTGTAATTTATGCCTGAAAATACTTGGAAAATGCATTTCCTTGATGATGGAGAAATTGTGATTACTTAGAAAGTAATAGCTGCAGAGGTTACCTTTAAGAATCAACCAATTATCTAGCACGGGAAGGAAAGAATCGGCCTATTGAAAGAAGGCTGTAATTGATTGGAATGGCTAAATTTCATTTTTGCCATGTTTATAATGTCCAATCAAGACTGCCAAGGATACCTTGCTCCTTAATAGGATTACTAAGACTCCGGAGGGTGAAACAGAACATGTGGAGTGTGAATCACAAGTTGCTGTGGTATATAATGAGAGTGCATCGTGCGGGTGTGCATAAATGTATTTCAGGCCCCATTGGGTTTTCTGTCTGGTAGCTCTCATAGCTACATCTTGAGAAATTTAAAAACTGGTTGACAGTCACCCAGCTCTGGTGGTGGAGAGGCAGAGAGGCGACTCAGGCGACCTGGACTGTACTGGTAATTATTCGGAGATTGTTCAGTGGTGGACTTTTTGAGGCTGTGTGTCTGTGTGTCCTCTGTCCTAACCCTGCCTCGTGACTGTGTTGAATTTGCCAGTATGTGTCTTAAGCATGACCGTGGTAATTCCTACCTGTAGCCGCAGCACGTCTGTTATGCAAAGCATGTGGATCTTCTTCCTTCGATCAGCAACTCAGAAAGTGTCGCCAGTGAACTCAACCTCGAGCTGTCTGCTGTGCAGTTCCGCTCACGAGTCTCTCTGAGACCATTGCTCTGTGAGGAAGCTAGTCTAAGGGAGTGGACATCCCTTCATTCCTCCAAGTTGTCTCGGCTCCACCCCTAGGTCATTTGTGCACAGGAAATCCCCACACCTGGAGCCATTAGCCTAGCCCCCTAACTCCACATAGAGATATGCCTTCACCGAGTTAGACTTTAATGCAACACTCTCGTTTTTTGTCATTGTAAGAAAAAGCCACATAAAGATCATCTTTGCATCTTCTGTGAAATTGGGGCTGAAAAAAATGGTTTTATTGTACAGAGGTTCTTGTAACTGAACCAATGAGAAGAATTCCTATTACGTCTTAGTATCTGAAAGCCATTTGTCTTATTTAATAAATTAGGATGTGTCTGCTTCCTTCCATCTGACAAAGAGAATTCTATAAGCTGGGAGCTTTTCCTTTTTGCCTTAGCTACCAGGAAACTCAAAGTTCAATTGAATGTTCAATCACGGTAACCAAGGTAGCCTGGCTTTTGCTTTTCTGTTGATGTACCTTTTACTCCAAGCTGTCGCAAATCCTTTATTTTGATATAGGTAGGGTATGAATTATAATTTGATTCTGTTCGTGTTAGCAACGAGTTTCTGAGTACCTGATGTGCATCTGACATGGTGCTAAGCCTTGAGGATATAAAGGCAAACAAAAGGCGGTCTTTGACTTTTAAGAGCTCGTAGTTTTATGCAGGAAAAGAAATCATTACTGTAGCATACCCTGTATGATAGGAGGTTGACCTTCTGGACGTATTGAGAGCACTTTTAATTTTCCTCTGATTTTATTTACGCAGATACAGTTTTAGACATTGGCCAGGTTAGAAGGTCTCCTAATTTCAAAACCTAGAGATGGGAAAAAAAAATCTTAGCATGCATTGGAAGCCCAGATCATTATAACAGTAGACGTTAATAAAGAGACATTAAAACCTAACCAAGGTTCTCCCCATTGAAGAAAAGATGAGTGTGGGTGGCCCCTTTTTTTGCTGCTAAACTAGCTTGCTTGCAAGCAGATGAGTCTCAAGTTTCTTGAGACTTGATTGTGTTGGCCCGGAGAGAGTGAATTACTTCTCAGGGGCTTTGAGGTATTGTGGTGGTCTTTTTGATATCACGGGGCAAGGTTCTGATTCTGTAGAACTCAGTTTCAGTGGAAATTCAATGAACTTTCAATGAAAGTCCAGTAACCTTTCAGTGAAAGTTGGGTAAGTTGAGCTTTGAGCTTCCTGGTAGCTAAGGCAAAAAGGAAAAGCACTCAGCTTATAGAATTCTCTTTGTCTGAGGGAAGGAAGCATATCCAAATTCATTAAAATGAGACAACGTAAACTAAAGGTGTTTGAAATGGGAAATAAACAGTTCAGACATTTGGAGACAGCCAGGTATTAGTGTTCGTTAAGCAGTAATCTGACCCAAGAGGTAAACTGTTTGAGGGACCAGAACAACTTTGCAAGTATTTAAAGTTTGCATCAAATTTGTACTGGGCTTTCAGCATGATGAGATCTCCTTGTTTTGAACTTAGGGTCTGAATAGGACGGAGACTGGTTTTGGCTGCTACCCAAATGGTTCGTTTGTACAACGTCATCAAAGGAGACCCCACTGTATATACAAAGTTTATTCTGGCCTTAGCTGAAGACTAATTTATCCCATTAAAATGGACAAACGTAGGGATTTTTCAGGGAATAAAAATGAGTTCTGCTCATATCTATCTATTAAATATGCCTTTCAAATGTACTTCTGAAAACGGAGCCATTATTCGGCTGAGGATTGTATGGAATGTTAATTGTTTCATCACTGCTTTAGCACCAATGTTGCATGTGAGGCAATATCAGATGTTCTTGTGGATAGGAAAACTAAAATGGACGTCTATTGGATCTCTAAAATTCCCCCTCCCCAACAGAACCTTTGCCGGTTCCTCTTCTTTTCTCAGTCGCTTAAAGGTTGATGTTCCCCAGGGTTGCCTCCTGAGCCTGATCTTCTCGTTCTGTATTTTCTTTCTCTGGGTGATTTCATCCATTTCCTGCACTTCACCCTCCATTCATCTGCACCCTCTTCCATCCTCACATACAGAGAACAGCACACGGCCATACAGCCTAGGTTTAGTCTGAAATCCCAGGCTTGGATAGGCACACCCCCGTGTATGCCAGGAGATGGGGCTGTGTTAAGGGCAAATGAGAAACCTGAGATGTTAAACCTCTATCTGCAGTGGAGGCGGTATCCATGGGGAAGTTGTCACTGCCTCCCATGCATGGAGGGCACGCCTATGGCTCCTGGGAGCCAGAGGTGACGTAGGGTGGCTGTCTTCCCCATCCGGTGGTCCTGCTGCCACATGGCCCCACGGATGCCAGTAGCCGTGTTTCATTGCAATATCTTGGGCCAGGATAGTGCAGCCTAAGCACAAAGAAGTCCTTTGCCCTTCTGAATTCAACCGCTTGTTTTGAGAACACCTTTGGGCAGGTAAAGGGAATTATAAAAAGGCGCTCTCGGAGATGAACAGCTGAGCTTCTGTCAAAGTCATTTCCAAGTACGTAGCTAGCCACCGTTTTCTAGTTCTGATAGCTGTGCTTTCTGTATTACAGAAACCCATGCAGGAACTTCATTGTTTTAAGAACAACCACAGCCATTTTAACAAGATTAGTATTTCCTGCAGGGGAAGATAGAGCCGGTATGTTGATTGCCCACAGAATGATTTAGTGGCCAACATCACTTTGGAAATCTGACTTTGTTTTGATTTACGTAAGCAGCGGTTTAAGTCCTTGAATAAATTTTTTTCTGAATCATTGAAAAGACACAGGAGAGCTTGAGTCAGTGTTGATGAACAATTGCACCGTTTCAAAGCAAACAAGTATGAATCATCAATATGTACACACAGTTGCCCCCAGAATGTGTAGGCAGACACTAGTAATTTATACAGTCCTTTCATTAAAAGGAATTAGATTCGCTTTAGTCATGTTAGCTCAATTAGATGTTGAGCTTTTCTGAACCAATATATTCACGACCGCACGATTTCACCGACTTCCTTATCCAATGGGCTAAGCCTTTTTCATGGTGTAATGTGGCGCAAAGGGCTGACGTGTCAAGAACAAACATAAGTCGAATGTTCCATTACAATTCCCGGGCTCACCAGGCTGAAGTTGTCCCTCACAACGCGGAATGTAACGGTTCAGCTCCTCTGACCTAAAAGAAGTTATTTTGCTAATAAAATTCTTCAGCGAGGTCATTTAAAACTTTCTCCCAATGAGCGCGTTCAAGGATAGGCCAGGGAGTATACAAACGTTAATCACACAGCTCATTCCGAGAGGCTCTTTCCATAGTGTTATTGGGTTTTTTTTTTTTTTCTTACATAGCACATGAAAAGTATGAAATTATACGGCAGCATGAGAATTTTAAAGAACCCTATATGCTAGTCTGCTTAGGACATCTGTTTGAAACATTAACATTAGGAAACACAAACCTATTCATTCTCTCTCCTCCCACCCCCATCTTCTTGTTATTTTAGACAAACAAAGGTGATGCACTTGCCAACCGAGTCCAGAACACGCTGGGAAACTATGATGAGATGAAGGATTTGCTAACTAACCATTCTAATCAGAATCATCTAGTGGGAATCCCAAAGAATTCTGTGCCCCAGCCTCCCATCAACAAAAACGAGCCAAGCTTTCTCCCCGAGCAAAAGAACCGAATGCTCCCACCTCACCAGGATAACACTCACCCCTCGGCCCCAATGCCTCCGCCTTCTGTCGTGATACTGAATTCCACTCTAATACACGGCAACAGGAAATCAAAAGCTGACTGGCCACGGGATGGTCATAACGCTAGCCTTGTACCAGCCAGCCAGGCCAGTAGCCAGCCAAACAAGATGCAGCTGCCTGCGCAAGACCAGCCCCAAGCCCGACTGGAAGACTTCTTCGTCTACCCGGCTGAACAGCCTCAGGTCGGGGCCACCGAAGGGTCAAACCCATCCGCGAAGGAAGACAATAGCCTCAAGTCCAGTGGAGGGGATGCTTTCAAAGAAATCTTTCAGTCCGTCTCGACAGAAGAATCTGAATTTACAGTGCACGCTCCTGGGTCTCCCCTAGTTGCCTCCTCTTTGTTAGCTCCCAGCAGTGGCCTTTCGGTTCAGAACTTTCCACCAGGGCTTTACTGCAAAACAAACATGGGGCAGCAAAAACCGACCGCGTATGTCAGACCCATGGATGGCCAGGACCAGGCACCGGACATCCCTCCGACACTGAAACCTTCCATTGAATTCGAGAACAGCTTTGGGAATCTGTCATTCGGATCACTGTTGGATGGAAAACCCAGTGCGGCCAGTTCAAAGCCCAAACTGCCCAAGTTCACGATTCTCCAAACAAGTGAAGTAAGTAATTTTTCAAGTTTTGTTTGTTTCTTTCTTTTTTTTTTTTTTCTTTTTAGTTCACTTCTCTCGCCGCTATAATCAAGTATTCACAAGCACCGCTTATTTACCTTCTTGAGCCGTAGATGAGACTCTTCAAGGTCAGAGTCTGAGTCTTGATCTTCTGTGGCTTGTGACTTGACTGATTAACATTCTGCAAATACAGTTAAATCTCCGTAATGTGGAATGGCAGCAGACAAGGTCAGTCTGAGTGAATGAAAATTTGGACTTCTAAAATAGTTTCGGAGAGTGCACCTGTAGCAATATGTACAGATTAGTAACACTGGAGATTGTGATTGGTCGTAAGCAGTATGATGTCCCTGAAAAGATTGTGAGCCACCGTAGGCCTTCACTAGCAAGTAGCAGGTCATAAGCATAAAACACAGAAGTTCCTTAAGGTACAAGACCGTACAAGTGTGATTTGCTGGCATCGGAAGTGGAAGGCATTCCTTAAGAATCTTAGTTTCTTGAGTGCTTGTGGGGGCTATTCCTTGGCAAGATCCTAACGTTATCCTCTGTATCCCTCAGTCCTCCCTTCTGCACCACCTTCCTCTGCAGGTACCTACATAGCCCTCTTACACTACCTTGACCCCTTCTGTCAAAGCCAAAGGCATATGCTCAGCCACAGTGCCGCTGGGTTTAGAATGACTAACTGTCGTACCCATCTCAGGAGTCATTGCCTTATAAAAGAGAAGTCGGAGGGACCAAAGCCTCTCCCAAAGGAATGGATCGCTAATGATTGGATCCCAGGCCTTGTGGTCCCTGGGTGGGGGACATATATTGGGTGCCCCTCAGACACCACCATGTAAGCGGCTGCCTACTGCTCCTCAAGTCTTGATTGGAAGAAGCCACTGCTTTTAGATTGGATTCCTGTTACTGGTGCCTAAAGGCTTGAAAAGACGCAGAGGAAGAACGTAGGTTGAAATTCTTACTCAATAGGAGTCACAGACAGTCTGTGTGAATTGTCGCACATTCTGAGGTAGTGGTGTCTCAATTACAGAAGTCTGACCATGTGCACCTCTGGCCCTTCCGCCGTTATCCGTACTCAGCAGATGTGGGGATGTCAGAGGATGATGGGAACACAAAAGAAGGGGAGGAGTGGGGCTGAGGGTTGTATTTTCCGAGTGCGTGTTTTTAATACTGTTTCATTTCTGAGGCGGTTTCGCTTCTCATCATTCATCAAGTCTTGTCGAGCTTCCCCCTGAGTATCTCCCCAGCCTGTCACCTCTTCACCCTCACCGCCTTTCGGAGCGCCCGTGGGCACCCACAGACAGCCCCTCCTATCTGCTCTGCCTCCCTCTGGTGTCACCTCTTTTCCAAACCATCCTCCATTCAGGCTGACCCAGTGGGCTGACGTAGCCACGTCACCCCTGCTTTGCATTCTTCAGTGCCTTCTCATCGCTCCCCGGACAAGGTCCAAATCTCTTAGTCCCGCGTACAAAGCTCTTCACGCCGATTCCATGCTTCTCCTCTGACTTCACGTTTCACCGTCTCTTCGTGCACAGATGAAATCCCAGCCACATGGAGCTGCCTGTGGCTCCCCATCATGTCACGCGTTGTCACGCTTCCTTGCTTTCGTGCCTGCTGTTCTGTCGGCCTAGAGCATCTGTCCCCACCCTCCCTTGTCTTCCGGTGAAGTCCTGTTCCTCCTTCGGGTCTACCCGATTGTTCCTTTCTCTGTGAAAGCTTCCCTAATTCCACCAGGCTTACTACAGACTGCTCCCTCTGGAGTCCTCTAGCGCCTTACGTACCCCTTGACTGGCACTTACCTCGTGTATCACAGCTACCCGTTGATGTGTCTGTGTCCTCTATTAGACTGTGAGCTCCTTGAGAGCAAGGAACGTCCCATTCTTCTCTGTATCCCGAGCGCCTAGCAAATGCCTGGTACGTGGTAGCGACTTAATAAATATTTGCTGAGTGAATGAATTTGAAAATTGGTTACTTGAGTACATATTCGAAGCCACGATGTGAAGCAACTCACACGGAAAAGGTAAACGGTTGCTAGAAAATCCATCGTTCGTTGTACCCCTTTAATTGGACTCTGATCGCCCGTGTCTCGTTCTGCTCTGCTCCTGCACAGTCATTGGGAAGTCCTAATCCTAATTTCCACTGGATGACTTCACACAGGATTGTCATACTTAACATCCACAAGGAAACGTGCATTGAGAGACGAGTATAATGAGAGGCTGGGATATTGTTCTTGTCCCTTCTCTTGCCCCGGTACCTGGTGGTGTTCCCTCCTCCCACGGCAGCGCCATCACTCAGGACTGGTCTGGGAGTTGTACTGGCCCATCAAGGGGTCTGTCAGCCTATGTCCATACCTCATTAGCAGAGTGACAAGTCACAGACCCAGTGAGATTCACTCTGTTGTAATCCCCTCTCTTCTACATTCACGACATGGCTGACCCAGATTCAGAAACGACTTCATGCTTTTGCTCAGCACTCTGGCGCACCAATGAGAGGTACGTTTCCAAAGAGAGTCTGAGCTATCTTCACTCTGGAGACGATGATCCAAGGAGCAGCCTGTGTGCACACAGCCTTTGGTGACGGTACAAATAGACTTTGGTAGAGCCTTGTATGAAAAATGGGTCAGGTGCAATAGAGTCACGGTAAGAGATCAGTGAAGAGAGTACTTATTTTAAAATATTGGTCTCAAGAAAGGATTTGAAAGAGGGGTAGACACAAGCTTAGGGCCCTCAAGTCAGGAGAACATCCTGGCTTCAAAGGTAATATGAAAAGCAAGGGTCGGAGGAAAGGAAACCGGAGATTGACAGCCTGACAGGGAGCTTAGAAGGGTGTAGATTAAAACATGGGCATAAATATAGATGGGGTGGAGCATTATGGAGCTTTGCACCTAATGGAATTTATGTGGCTAAAACTCTGACCAAGGCTGGAAATTCACCCTATTAAATCTTGATGCACTTTTCAAAAGCACTTAGCGTCAGAATTCAGCCCCGGTCCCTGGCGCCGAGAGGTCCGGGCGTTGGGTTCTGGGTCCCCAGTCAAAGTAGCCATCGTTGATGAGTGGCAGCATTCCTTGGAGTTATTACTTAAAAGGGCTTGTCCAGAGAGCAGTCACAAAGAGGGTCTCTTTGTGTATTCCCATCTCTGTCCCTGGTTCTAGTGAGAGGAGGTCGACCCGTGTGTTAGTGAAGTGCATTTGGGAGCAGTGGGGGGCTGAATGCCCAGGAAACAGACCGCGTTCTAAGATACACGAATAAGCAGATACTAATATATTTGGGAGTTGGGAGACACAAACTATTATTGAAATGACACGAGCACGTGCCTATGCCCTTGTTCCTTTCCGTGTCTGTGCTTGTGTCTCGAGTGGAGAAGTGTTACTTATGGCCCATCCTTGACATTATTTCCTGGCTTCTTCGAATTTCTGTATCAGTAAGAAGGCTTCTAGAAGTCTAACCAACTTTATGGCGGAAGGTCAGCTTTTCAACTGAAGCATGCTTTTGGAACAAAATTTGTTTAAAAACTTAGTTTTACAGAATTTACTAACATGCCAGGCAACCAAAAAAAAAAAAAAAAAGGAGAAAAGAAAAAGACTGATGTGTTCTTCAGTTGAGCTTAGAAGAATTTTCTGGGAACTGCATCTGAAAACAGTAAAAGGCCTATTTATATCCAGTGGAAACTGAGGGTACTTGCAGATGGTATTTTATTAGGAAATGGATTTGTTAATAAATGTAGCTTTATACGTGATTCCATTACATACATTTTTGCTTATGTTTCTCATTGGGATACAAATCTTTTGGTGTAGATAGCTGTGCATTTTAGCACAATTTGTTGTTAGTATACTGTCTGGGAAGTAAATGATTGCACGCAAATGAAAGGGCCAGTGACAGCTATGAAGTATTTCCATCCTAAGTCAATAAGCTTTCGTAAGTACAATACTAACGTGTGGAGTGTCATCACCATAAAGGATCATTTGCCTTGCAAGCCGCTCTTGGCTGTGACCCTAAGGCTATCTGAGGCTCCAGCTGCCTCCAAATTAGGAGTCTCTTAGCAAAGTTTGATGGAACCCATAGGAATGATGGGATATGGCGTTCGCTTATTTTAGTGGCTGGTTTTGTCAACCAGCCGCAAAGCTGTTGCTCACATTTGTGACTGCCCGTTTTGTTGTGCGTCCTATGCAGTGAACACTGTGGGTATAATTAGCTTTATGTATTGTGAGTAGATGGGGAAGCTCAAGTCCCTTGGGGGAGAACCGCTGAGGATGCTGGGAACTTAGCACTCAGGTGCCGGATGTGCCCAGGCAGCTCCACAGGAACCACTGAGGCAGCTCCTTCAGGGAAGGTTGCTGTGTGCAACCAGGCCGAGCATTTGCCACTTGATGTGCATCACCAGTTTATTTATTTGGGGGCCCACTGTCACGGAAATAAAATAGCACCCAGGCAGTCTTCTTCCCACCCCATCGGGACTGATCTTAGCATTCAGTCCATATAAGCGTAGGACCCAGAAAGTTTTGTATGTCCTCTGTCAGTCCATCCCCTAGTGGTTGCTTTTCCTTTGTGCTTTTTGACGACGTCTCCAATGGCATGGTGTCATTGGTGTTAAAATTCATTTTCCGTGGGGCGCCTGGGTGGCTCAGTCGGTTAAGCGTCCGACTTCAGCTCAGGTCTTGATCTCGCGGTTCGTGAGTTCGAGCCCCGCGTCGGGCTCTGTGCTGACAGCTCAGAGCCTGGAGCCTGCTTCGGATTCTGTGTGTCCCTCTCTCTCTGCCACTCCCCTGCTCATGCTCTGTCTCTCTGTGTCTCAAAAATAAATAAAAACATTTAAAAAAATAAAAAATAAATAAAATTCATTTTCCTTACCACACATCTTCATCCCCTCATAACTTCAGTGTCTCCCTAAGCTGACTGAAGCGGCCCCAGGGAGGCATCTGAGAAGGAAAACCGGTGATACAGATAGAACACGGAGCCTTGCACTGTTCGTGATGGAGAGGTCAGAGGTGCTGGGTGATCAGGTAGGGTGTCTTGGGGAGGGGCGGCTGAGACCGTCCTCACGGTCTTGGGGTGTTTTGCCAGCCATTGACACAGAGGAGTAACCCCGGGAGGTCTTACAGAGATAGGATGCAAGATGCATTTTGAACTTGACCTTGAATCCTGGGTGGGATTACAGTAGGTGAAGAGGGATCAGGAGGGCAGTTCGTATTTGTGCGAATAGGGATGGATGGAGAGAATGGCAGGTACCAAAAAGGGAGGTAAGAGCACAGAAGATACATTCTGAAGATAGGCCAGTTTGTCTGCAGCTGTGGGGTTATGGCACCTAAGTAAGATAGGGCTCAAAAGGCTGCCTTCTAGGTGTCTTGAATGCCTGGGTGATGTGGCAACCAGATGGTAATGGTGAACTTGAAACTTGACTTTCCCAAAGGCTTCACGTGTGGCAACCTAGGAACTGTCTCAAGCCAAGTGCTCTCACCAGCTCAAGCAGTAACTTCCGAGCTCCAGTGCTCTCTACTCCCTTTCAAGAAAGCACATCTCATTTCTGGGGTGCCCGGGCGGCTCAGTCGGTTAATTGTCTGACTTTAGTTTCGGCTCACGGTTCATGAGTTCGAGCCCCGCATTGGGCTCTACGGCTGGCAGCACGGACCCTGCTTGGGATTCTCCCTCTCCCCTTTTTTCTCTTTGCCTCTCCTGCTTGCACACACACACACACACACTCTCTCTCTCTCAAAAATAAACATTCTTTAAAAAAAGAAAGCACATCTCATTTCTTACTCTGTAGACCTCAGCTTCTCCTCAACATGCTTTCCCAAGGCTCTCTCTAAAGTTGTGCCAAAATGGTTGTACTCAACCAAGCTGTCTTTCCTGGGTGCCCCTGCCCTTCGTTGTCCCTTTCCATCCATTTGCTCGTTAGCACTAGGCAAACTGAGGAATAGAGCTCAACTTTGGCTTGGTGAAGGGCTTGTAGATCCCCGGTTTTCTGTGTGTTTTTTTTTGTTGTTGTTCCTTCTCATTTCCTCAAATCCTGTTCTTTAGGGTCTGTATTTTCTCTTGTAAGACTCCATGTAAGTGATTCTAGCCACCAGTGTCCTGGAACAATGTCTGCTATTTCCACATTCCATGTTTGCAATGAATTGGGCTATTCGGTTCTGCACAACTGTCTTGGTGTTCTGTGCTTTTAAATCCCTTGTTACTTTTAACATTCTTTTGGTCGGAAAGAAGCCAAAAGATTGATTTATTCTTCTTCCACTAAAAAAACAACAACAAAAAACAACAACCTTTGGTTCTTACACTCTGCAAATTTAAGTCATCCTTAATAATGATACATTTTGAAACATCACTATTTATTAATAATTTCAGTGAATCTTCAGGAGATGGCTGAAAGTCAATCTTACGTGAAGGAACATGTGGTATACTAGCAAGTATAGTTTGGACGATGTCTACTGAGCTCTGGGTTCCACATCTGGCCTTGACTTGCTCTGTGAACTTGACAGAGCAATTTTGCCTCTCGTTACATGGTGAGTTCCGACTAGCTCACCAGTGAGGTTTCTTCTAGCTGTACATCTCTGAGGGCATGCTTCTCCTTTGTGTTGAGCCCAGACCTGCCTTGTTTGTGAAGTTACTTCAGCCATTCCCTTGTCATGCACCCGCACCAAGAGTGTGGGGACAGCATGGAGGGATGGAAGCCTTGCCTGAATGCCTCTTAGCACCATCCTTCCGAACAGCTGGGGACGTTTTCAGACTAGGGAAATAGGGGAAAACTAGAATTGGATCTTCCTTGGGGATTGGACACTAGTTCATCCTGAATTAAACTCATTTTTTTTAAAAAAGATAAACAGCTATATGCTGTATTTCACTGGAAAACACCAAGCTGTGAACTCAGGAAATAGCCTCCTAATCCTTTTGTCACTACCCACTCACATCATGAAAGATGGAGAACTTCTATTTTCACATTACTTCTCGGAAAATATTTTG